AAAAGATTCCAGGCATTCAAATAAAGTCCTTACCAGAATATTCGCTGGAGAAGGGATGATAAATGATGCTCACGCCTTCATTGATTATGAACAGATCTACGCTAAAAGACTCATCAAGTTCATGAAAAGTGAAAGCCATGTTGGAAGAAACATAATGGCAAGAAAAAACAATGTTGCAAGGGTAGGCAAGAAAATCCCAGCGCACCACCCACGAATCACCTTGGCCGCTTCCGCACGCCGCAACCGCGACGCCGCACCCCCAGTCGCGTTATGACAACGGCACTGAATCGCGCAGCGGGCTTCGATCTATCGACCCAAAGTCTAACGCTTGTTTCTATGGACCGTCTTTTACCGTGTTTACTCCCTTTAATTCTCGTTGATCCGACATACACTGTCACTGCGCTTACAGTAAAATACTCCTCGGATGTTTCAAATCGATCGGCATAGACTTTCCACAGGTTGTACATGGAGACTGTCTGACGACTCTAGCAGCGTTATAGGACCATTTCAAAAGGAGCAGACTGTTGTCCACTCAGTGAGCATTGCTTAACTGATGAGTTTCCTTGAGTTTTGCACGGAGGGATCGCCTTTTCCAGCCGTTCTGCTGCTCTCGGTATCCGACTGATGGTGAGCTTGGATACCTGAAAAGGGGAGATTTACGATGCTGTCGTGTTTGAGCGTATCAGCCGGGGACACTTGGAGAGATTTTGCTTCGGAATTCAACTTATTGTGAGAGCGTTGCAGGGTGTTTGCAGGGTGTGCGACATTATGAGGTGCAGGGTGTGCGACATTATGAGGTTCCTCATGTTTCAAGGTATTAAAAACATTTTCAGAGAAATTATGGCAAAACACTGATTTGTCGGAGGATTGCTCCTCGCAAACTGTGGATTTCGCGAACATAAGCCCTGTTACTTACAGTATCTGATTGCTGACAATCAGGGCACGTCGTACGCTGGAGATTCCCCAGCGGGGGCGGCATCTGACTGCAGGAGGAACGGGACCGTATACGACCTGAAAAATTTTTGATGGATGATTTTTCCTGTTACGTGTCGAATTTGCTCGCCCCTGCTAGAGGGTTGGGTTTCGCACTGGAAAAAGTTCTCCTAGTGTCCGGGACACTGTTGACTTTTCCCGGATTTCCCGTTTCACGTGTGCACATTATGCAGTACAACAAAAGAAACTGCTTCTTTTAGTTGGTCTTGTCGGTAGCGCTACAAAAATCACCGTAGCTAATTATAATAGCTGCTGTCTGGTGGCGACGTCGTTCCCCTCCTTTGGAAGGGAAAAGCGGGAAAGTTTCAGGAATGTATCGGAAAGAAATTGACGGGAAGTTGCGAAACCTCACGAAGATGGTAGGTAGCATGGGAAGAAGAGGGGAGCACCAGAGGAGGAAATTCGGGGAGGAGTCGCATTTTGGAAAAACTGTCAACTTTCCTCAGCAGAGGAAGCGCAATTGCCATAACTCCTTTTGAATCCTCCATGCATGATAGTCAAGGTATTTAACAAATTCGAACACTACCCAAAAAGAAAAATCTTCAGTGTGTATGAGAACTCTTTTCGTACACTGTTTCTGACAGTTAAGCACAGGGCACATCGTTGTTGGGAAATCCCCAACAAGGGGGATGTATTTGGTCGTCGGGAGAGGGGGGTTCGTAATTGGGCTAAGAAAAATTCATTTTGGGAGTTGATCTCTGTTCACGAACCTTGTGAAGGGGAGGGGGGAGGCATTGTACTTGCTCGTTGTTGAGAGGGAGGGGTGTCACTTCCTTCCTTTCCTTCTCGGAAAGTTGGTTGACTTATCGTGATTTTCCTGTTTCATGTGTACTTTATACCCTCCCCCCGCGTGCCCCGCTCTACAGCAAAGATTTTTGGGAAAAAGCAGGGAAGTTTTCGGGAAGTTGGGGAAAGTCTGAGAATTGGTAGAGGGGGATCGTATTTTCTCGCGGCCTTTCCCGCGTCCCCCTCCCCACCCCGCTCGACAGCTCGATGAGGAGGGCAGGGGTCAGAGGGCGGTCGTACCAATGCCCAAAAAAAAGGCGGGGGGTCGTACGGGCTCGACCAAAACCCCAACCAATGATGTGCCCTGGTTAAGCAGTAGACAGAAAAAGCTCCAATTTTGCAAATTCATCTATTGAATCAACTGCCCTCATGACTCTTCTGCAAATTGATCTATTGGATCAACTGACCTCATGACTCACTTTTTTAATGGTCTTTTATTTACCGTTCTTACCGTTTGGCTCAGAATAAACAGAACAGACGATTAATCTGCTTCATATAGTTGATGTCAGGCAATGTTTTTTTCCGCTTATGACTTTCTCACACAGACTTTCACATTGGGTACACTTATGGAGGAGTTCTGTTGGGTTAGTAACGCTCATCACATCACCTCCATGTCTCCATTGCTTACTGACGGTACAGCACGCTACAAATCAGACAACATTTCATGTTGATACCAGTACCCCATAACAAGCACAGATCACAAATCTCTCTCGTTTGTGTACGGGGTGTGTAAACAGTGCCTCAAGGACGTGCAGCATTGGCTACACTCCAACGTCAGCAGTATATCAGACGGCAGCTTGGTCGTCTCCATCACCTCCAGCTGTGTATACGTGATGATTCTACTGCTCACTGTAACCCTCACGGCTATTGCAGCCATTATAAGGTAAATCGTCAACCACTTTTAGATCACATTAATGCAGTGACATTAGTTAACAGAACTACAGCTAAAAGATAGTACGCGTTGCATCTTGACTCTCTGCAGGATGCGCCGCGTACCCGTTCTTTAATTAAATCATGACTCACTTTTTTCAATGCAAGCATTTTTTGCCGACTGTTGTGGTTTTTATCATCTCACAAGAATATCCTAATGCGTAGCTAACCTAGAGGTAAAAGCCTAACGATAAGTAGAGAGTGAAATCGCGAATATTACAGTCTGTACGCTGCTAATGATGGGGCGCGTCAACGAGGGATAAGTTTGGCTCGATATCCGCCTTTCTTCAGCAAGGCACAAGTCTATACCATATCGTTCGTGTCCTTCGTTTTCCATCTAATGTTGTCGCTTACCGCTTTAAAACTGGTCGAGAACGGACCACGCTAAACCTACATAGCATCCAACGCACTAGCGGTATTACTCAATTGTTCAGCCTTCTAACGAATATGCCAACCCAATTCGATCGGTGTTTAACATTCGTGTAAGCACAGGGGCATTAGAATGCACGTGCACATTCATGTTTGGCCAGTTCCAAAATAGACACTTTGGAGTGCGTCCGCAACGCGCGTCATCGTTTTGAGAGCGCGCGAGCGTTTCCAGAGCTAGCCGCGAAATGCTCGAAACGCTAGACCAATACTATACATTTTTGTCGCCTCAAAACGGTCAAGACAATTGCGTACGCTTGTACGCTAAGTACGCTCGAAATGCTGACGTAAACTAGGAACATACCCTCATCGATCCGAACGAGCGTTGTATCGTTTTGGAGGTCGAATGTGTTGAAGAGTTGGTGACATTCATCTACACATTGTCTCTGCTGCGATGTCTCGTATTGCTTTTGCTGATCAACTTCATCTTGTGTGAAGCACAACCGGAATGGGCGGGGGGAGGGGGGGGGGATTTGGCTGGTGCAGAGAAAGGGGATCGTATTGACAGAGTAGGGAGCTGGAGCTAATCGTTGGAGCTTACAGGTGATAACAATTGGTGGTAAACGGGATGGCCCCACCAAATGCAGCGCAATCATATGCTCTAGCGTCTGCAGCAGGTAAAATTCTGGGAAAGTCTGCCACGATGGCAGGCAAGATGTGAAGGGAAGGGGTCGTACCAGAGGGAAAATTCCGGAGTGGAGGGGCAGTTTTTTGCAACTCATTTGTGGCCCTTTCTGAGAACTCTGTTTATGTACTTTCCCACTTTCGTGTGGGAAAGCGTTTGCAGTCCCTTTTCTTACACTATTTCGATTTCTTGACGATCAATATCTTATTTTTAGAGGATTTTTCTAGAGGAGTCAGCATTTGAATGATCGACCCACTCAGTGTGCCCTGTCATATTTCAAAGCAAAGAACCGATAAGAAAACTGCAAACACTTTTATCTACTAGTAATGTGCAATAATAAAATCGCTCTTCAAGTAGTGTGGCACCCCTAAGAACTGGCTTGATTTGAGACTTAAGTAACAAGTGAAACCTACACTGTAAGGAGAGGAGGTATTGTTAGACATATCAAGGCGAATACAGGTGCGCGGAATCTTTGAGTTACAGTAGCCAGGGCACATCACTGATATGTGGACAAAGCGGTATCAGTACAACTCCGTGGTGTTTCGGCTTGGGAGAAGCATTTTGCACATTCCCACCAGTTCCTTTCAGTCCTAACTCACAGAAACCCTATAAATCCTAGTAAAGCTGCAAAATAGGGTTATGGGGTCACCGGCCACAGACAGTGAGCTGTCTTCACAATGTGACCTGTACATCTTCGCTGGGTACCATTGGGTGCCCCCTTCTCTCACCCACTCCCACCGAGGCGAGCTGCGCGCGACCTGCACCTCCAGAGGGTCTCTCTACGACCATCTCTCACTATCCACTGCCCCAACCTCTGCCACATTCTCCTCCTCTAATATCCCTTCTGCTCCCAAAATTTCACTGTCTTGCTGGGGAGGTGGAGGATTAGTAAAGGGAACGGAAAAGAGAATCAAGAATCAAAACACAATCCTTTTAAGGCCTGATGCGATTCCTTTTCCCACTGATCAAACGACCCCTTAGCCAGGTAGGATTTTCGCGATGATAATGACCGCTCACTTTGACTTCCTTTGACCAAGCTTGGACATATCAAGAGGAACACTTGATGGTCAGCAAAACTTCCGCTTTCCTCTGGAATAGAATATATGGGAGATGGGTGCAGAAGGCAACATTAAATTGGTAAAGCGTAAAGCATATTGTTTTCAGTTACTTCTACTGGCAACTAGACTACTGGAAGCGACGAGGAATCCCCAGTCCACCGGGAACTATTTTTCTAGGCAACATGTATGACCTTAATGATATGAACAAGCCAGTTGCATGTGTATTACGAGAGTGGACCAAGGTGATTTCCATCCATTCTTTACTTTAGTATTTCTGCGAGTTTATCGAAAACCATCAGTTCACAGACTTATGGCAGTGTCTACGGCATCCAAGAGGGTCTCAGAAGAACGTTAGTTGTGAGCGATGTTGGGATGATTCGCGACTTGTTCATCAAGCAGTATGACTACTTTTACGGTCGGAAGGTACGGGTACGTGTTCTTTACGAGCTAGTCCGCTGCCCTTCCGTAGTCCTAACATGCCTCACACGTTGTCAGGCGGCACGCAAATGACCAGAAAATCGCAGAATATGCTCTCTCCAAACATTAATGATTTCTCCAGCAATGATGTTTATGTTTTGCTTCGATTTTCAGAGCCATATGATTGGCGGTGATGTGGAGAACGATCCTCGAGTTCACGTTTTCGAAGCGCAAGGTGTGCGATGGAAGCGCCTGAGAACCATTTCTACTCCAGCCTTTTCGTCGTCTTCTCTGAAAAAGGTGAGTTCTGGTTTGAAATATGTAGGCAAAGTTTTCAGCTAAGGCTCCGTTCTTACTTTGCGGCTGCGTCCAGGAGCGTCTAACAACGATTAAGCGATTGGCAGCGTCTACCATCGTCCGCCAGCGACCAGCGTCTCGAGGTACTAGGAAGTGTGGATATCGATCTAAGATTCACCACATTTTGCACTTTCAATGCATTTCACTAGTTCCGGTTGTGGCTCGACACGGCACGGCGATGGCAACTAGTGAATGTGCGAAATACCAGCCCCCCCCCCCCCTCCCTCCCTCACGTCGCCGAACTGCGCTTACAAATTGAGGACTAACAGTACAAACACTTCCGAAGACGGTCCTTACTGGGCGAGATGGAATGGCTCGCAGGTGGAGTACTCTACAAATCCCGCGCATTTAATCGCAGTTCAAATGGTGGGTGGTGCAATTAGGCGACGGAGAAGTGGGGGGGGAGGCATAGTGCACTTTCGTTGCTTCACTAGTTCCGATTTACAAATCTCACCCTGGTGGAACATGTGAACTCTTGCGAGGCCAGATAAGCTTGTCAAGCCATCATGGATGGTAAAACCTGTCAACTCGAGAAGAGGCCGTCTAGATGGGCCGGACACGTCGAGCAGTAGCAGAAGTGCCCCTTACCCCCCCCCCTCCCGTTGCCGAACTGTCCTTGGCTACAGTGCGCCGACTCACACAAGCATAAGTGGGCGCGTCGACTACTGCTTTCCTCTCTAAGAAACTTGGAAAGAGAATTCTGCTCTTCTATAGCCCAGAACGAAAACAGAGGCTTCCATCTTGAACATTCTGGTTTCAATTTCCTCACCCATTTAAGTCGTGTAGCAGGTCACGCTGTAGAAAATCAGGAGTCTACTCCACTGGAGGAGGCTATTATTACCGCTGCGCTTTTCAGTCAGGAACCTTAGCCCAATCAGTACTTGTTTATTGTGGACTTCTGTCTCAATGATTTCAGATTCGACCAACAATCGAAAGCTCCGTTCTGGCTCTCATGGACTTTTTCGAGAAGGAAGCAAATATGAAGGCCTTTGACGTCGTTCCGTATGTGATTAAGTTTCCCAAAGCACTTTTTGTACAAAACTGCCTTGATATGGGCCATATTCAGCTTCTACAAAGAGTTCACCTTGGATGTGATCTACCGTATTGCTATGGGACAACGCGAATCGGAGATGTTCACTGATAAGGAAAAAGTCGCTGCGGTGGACTCCGTGAGTGGCTATTTTCACATACGAGTAACAGCTTAGCAACGGGTGATGAAGTGCTTTACCATTAGCGGTCAAGTGTGGCACTATGTACCCTTTACTGCCCCAAATCTTCCGAAAACAGGCCAGTTTTTGATCGACTTTTTTCTGCCTTGGCAGAATTGGCTGAAAATTGGTTTACTGGGGTATTTTGACCTCCTGAATACGAATATCACACCCGCTCGGCACGAAACCTCTTGGCGCCCGCGCCACAGGCGCTGGCGCCAAAATACCCTAAATCACCAAATTCGCTGAAAACTTGCTCCCAGGGTAGTCTGACCTCCTGAACACGAATATCACATTTGCTTGGCCCGAAACCTCCTAGCGCCCGCGCTACAGCCGTTGGCGCCAAAATACCCCAAATCACGGGCGCCTGTGGCGCGGGCGCCAGGAAGTTTCGGGCTAAGTGAATGTGATATTCGTATTCAGGGGGTCAAACTACCCAGGAGACAACATTTGAGCAAATCTGTCCACGGAGAAAAAAGTCGGTCAAAAACTGGCTCAATTCTGGATGGTTGGGGCAGTAAAGGGTAAATAGTGCCGTCAGCGTCTAAAAGATGGTGGATTGTGCCAAATACAAAGCTTTACTGCCAGACTAAACATGTTTTGGCTAATTGTTCATGATTTATCACTAGTTTCTGATACTCCAACCTTCACAGATATTTCGAACTAATCTCCGTCGACCGGTATTCTACCTAGCTGCCCTAGTTCCCTGCCTTCGGATTCCGTTAAGGTAACACGCGTTCACGATAGAAGCCCTAAATTATTTCAATATTGTTTCGCTAGTAATTTTAATTTTCCTGTTTCCTCTAGAGCCTTCTTTTCAGAAAGCTCTTACATTGCTGCGGCTCCTCTAAGGGAAAGCAAAGTTCCTGCTCTCTTCCAAAAGATCTACAAGACTATCGACGAGAGGATTGAAGCTCGGGTGAGTTTTGCTTGAGTGCAGCTCATAAATAACACCACAGAGTTCTGTCTACCGTCTCGTTGGCCTCGGGCGCCGGAGCGTTTCAGGGGGAAGGGGCGGAGGAGTTGGATTTGAAGCGACGTCGGCTATCTCTTCACCAACCGTGGTCCTTCGCAGATGGTAGAAAACTAGCTGGCGCCACACCAAACCACCGACCACTCACCCCTGGAACTCACCGAACAAAACAGTACATTCTTCAGGCCAAAAAAGCCGCAGAAGGTATAGTATCACAAGAGCCAACAGACTTCATAGACCTTTTTTGGATGCGAGAGCAGAACAAGACTTTGACAACAAAGCGGAGTTTTCAAAGACAGGAATTCAAGTAAATTTCTGCCAAGTTTGTGGTCTCTAAAAATTCACATTTTTTCAAATTTTTTTCAGGTATCGAAGCATCTGACCAGGGAGGAGATTACCGCTCAGTGCTTCGTATTTCTTCTGGCAGGTTTCGATACAACCGCCACCTCTTTAGCATTTGTTACCTCATCTGCTGGCTAAAGCACCCTTCAGTTCAGAAGAACCTTCAAGAAGAAATTGATCAGCACTGTAATCGTGAGGTTTGTCAATGATTCTCATTTATTAGATTTTACAACAGAATCCATTAATCTCAGTTTCAAAGATTTTATTTGTGTTGAAGCTCAAGATACCTTATAACCGAGCTAGTGGAGCCGTAGCCTTACCATTACGCCGTTGTGAAGCGACTCCTTCACCTAGGTCTAATTTTTGCATTTGTGTCAGGTCAACTAGCTAGGAAATACTCTGCAAGGTTGTGCTCGTGTTCGCAACTTAGGTCTCCCCTCCTCCATCCGATAGCAAAGTGGCCCAGACAAAGCGTGAGAGGTAGGAGTTCACATATAAGAGAGTACACGCAAGTCTGACTGTAACGAGAGTACTCGGCAGCGCAGATCGTCCTGGGAGGTGGGAGCAATTCGCTCTTCTGCTACATCCCAGATGTGTCGAGCCATCATGTGGGGGCCTGTGAAATCCTGTGAAGCCAGATAAAGTTTGTAATGACTACCTGTCAACTTGCAATGGAATGAACACGTCGATAGGAAGTAGCGAAAGTGTCAAAAGCACCCACCCCCCCACCCATGCCGAACTGCATTTGCACTGCCTGTACACTGGATTCACCTACATTTGCGACGAGCAAGGGCACACCTAGATGCAGTATGATTAGAATGCCGTTTTTCAGTCGATCAGCTATGAAACTATGGCGAGCCTAAGATACCTGGATGCCGTTATCAAAGAATCTCTGCGAATGTATCCGTTAGGAACTACGTAAGAACTGAGATGCCTTACTCTACTTAGGCCATTATTTCTCTGCAAAGTTTGAATTTTGCGAATTAAGGCCTATTTCAGCGCAAATTCTCGTCGTTGTATGAAAGCTACTACTCTTGGAGGAGTTCGAATCCAAGAGGGCGAAAATGTATGCGCCGATACCCTTACAATCCACTTCAATCGCGAACTTTGGGGGGAAGATGCTGATGATTTCCGACCGGAAAGGTAAGTGTTGTCAGGCACACAATAGAACTTTTCTTGCAACCACAGACGAAAGCGGATATTGGCAGTCGACGGTAGACCTCGCCATTTTCTTCTCTTATGCGCCCTCACAACAGGTGAGTTCAGGCTAGCAAAATAATACATCGGCACGTTCACTTACTTACCCTTCCCAGTGTACCTTTATTACAAAATTCATGAGGCTGCGTTCACACTTTGTGGCAGCGTTCACCAGCCCCAACAGCGTTTGCACCGTCTCGAGGTCTGGGAAGTGTAGGTATCACCGTAGGGTTTGCCAGCGTTCCCCTGCGGCCGAGAGTACGAGGAAATAGGAAAGTAGCAAACAGCTCGTGAAATCGCTGCGGTGCAACCGCACTGCACAAATGCACTACACCGTACATTAAATTGCATAATTCTGTGCTTTAGCAGTTGTGCGGTGCGGTTGCACACGCCGCAATTTCACGACGCCTAATCGAGCTGTTTGCTGCTCTCTTACCCTGTACTCTCTATTCCTGCCTCTTGTGAACGCTGGCAGACGCTGTGGACGCTGGCAAACACTAGACCGATATCCATACTTTTTTAGTCACTGACACTGCCGGACGCTGGAAATGCGGCTGAATGCTGGTGAACGCAGCCAAACGGAAGTATCTGACAGAAGATATTTTCGACAGTTCTATGCGGCGTCAAGTCTTCCCGTAAAAGCAATGCTAAAATGCTCCTGCAGAAAGTCGTTTTATGATGTAGGGCCTGCCGCACCCCACAAAGGGATTGATCTACGGTAAAGAATACCCCATTTTCAATTCGAGAGCTGCAAACCTGGTTACCTGCATGTGGGAAGGGTTCGTCTCATAGGTTAGCGTACAGCATTTTTTTTAATATGTAATTTCTAAGCCTTGGCGTTTCTCGTCCTTGTCGAGTTCCCACACATGGTACGACGACGTTCCGGAAAAAGTCATTCGGGAAGCGTAAATTCTGGTCTGATTCTGGTCTTACACCAGTTGATCGTCTACCGCTTGGGCGGCGGATTTGACGATGATTTTTTTTTCGATGAGGGGTCGATCGACCTCATAGAGTACAACGAGCCACCTTTCCCGGCGACTTTGACCCTGCTGGACAGCATCATTTATTTAGCAACTGACTTACGTGGTGCTTTTGTAAGCCATCTCGGGACCTGACTCTCAGCTACTGTTACGCTTCATCAGTGCTTTCTAGCCCATCAGACAGCCCTCCCTTCATTGCCAAGGACTGAAGCTAGACTGGAGTTGGGCAGGATGTAAAATTTCAAAATGCGATCTACGCATGTAAATCCGAATCAGAAGCTCATTTTCAGAAACGGAGCCTTCAACTCAGAACAGTTGTTTTTGGCACCTGAACTATTAGGATTTCCTTCTTCCATACACGGGGCAGATGTTCCTAGCTGCTCCTGCTGCTTCACACCTCAGCAGCAAACTTCCAAAAACCTATTTCCAGATGGCTTGAGCAGTCTGACCGTCCATCGGCTGCATTTCTGTCATTTGGCCTCGGCCCAAGGCAGTGCATAGGAATGCGGCTTGCTCTGATGGAGGAAAAGCTAGTGCTCGCTCATCTCCTCCAACGATACAATATCGTTGCAACTTGTGATACTGAGGTGCTTACTGCTTTACTTGTCAAGAGTTTTCTTCCGAAATGGCGGAACATAAAAGTTTTTCGTTTCAGGAGGCCTTGTCCCTCACAGGTTCGATGACATTCGCTCCGAAGTCTGTTACCGTTCAACTGCAACGGAGGTCTCGCCTCTGAATATGTATTTAATTTGTATGTATAAATATTCTGGGGAAAGTGTCACCTGCCAAACGTTTTATAGATGATTTCAAATTAATTCGATTGATTCAAAAATTAATTGTGTTGGTGTGGCGACCGACATACTAGGCCGTAAGTTGAGCTCGCATATATTGAGGAAGCACAAACTTAGAAATCACATAAGTAACAGCAGGTCAACTCCCTAAACTGACGACGCAAACATTTTGGGGATCGGAGCGTGGAAGGGATATGTGGCAAGACAATTCTGACTCGCTGCGCAGGTGCGCATGATCAGCAATTCCTCTTTGGAGCACAAATTGGCGACGAGCTACGATTGTCTTGAACGTTTTCTGTCTTCGGGAGTACGTTGATCTGCTCAGAGACATGGTGCTGATTTGCTCAGGGACATGATGCTCACCATGGCGGTAGGGAGATAGACATAAGTATAATATAATCCCAAGAAAACAAAAACGAAACAATTGAAACCATTGGAACGAGGCAATCATAGTGCCCGGTGAATTTCTGTAGCTTACTGTCATGCCACTGTCAATCATCACCATAAATTTCAGCATGTCGTCATGTCAACTTCAGCACATTTCCACTACAAGGGTGAGAGTAGTAACGCGGAAATTGGGATGTAAAGGGAAAGCTGGTGGCTAAGTTAAGTGAGGGTTGATCCCTTCCAGCGATAAGTCGCTCCTTGAGTGCGAAACAAGTCACGCACCGCCTGCATGAGGACGTGCCCAAGAGAGGACGGGAAACGAAATGGAGGATAGTAATACCCTGAAGTCGTCCTCATAATTCGCCCCGGTGTCTTCAATGTGCAGAACTTGCGTCGGTACCAAGATCCGTAGCTAAACCCGCTCTCCTCGGTAAAGAGCAATCAAGACAGAAGTGAGAAGGCGCAGATAAGCAGCGCTTGAGGTCATCGAAGGCATATAGCTGGACGTGCGGCAGCGCAGACGAGTATGGAGACGGCTACCAGCTATCACGCAGCCCCGATCCCGTGCACTTTTTCTAAAGTAAGTGCCACGCTACTGTAGCTCCGAACCCATTCCCCCACACAAGGCAAGGACAAGGTCCACGAAAGATAGTGAGTGTACATTTGTCTACAAGCGCACTGCCTGGAAGTAGTGTTGGATCGAACTGCAAGCTCCAGCTCTTCTGTTTGACGTCTGAGCTCTGTTTTGTGACATATGAACACCATATCCCCGTAGAGTTCATTTGAAGTACTTGGTCCTCTAGCGTAGTAACTTACGGATCAGGCGGATTGTAGAATGCCTCTATGTTTCAGAGAGCAGATTCCTACTGTTCGGTAAGTTCCGGTAATCAAAGAGGTCGGGATACATTTGAAGGAATGCTCAAATACTTATGGACATCTTTTATACTAAGAGCTTTGTCTCTGGCAGTAAAGAGTTGTAAAAGCAGTAAGAGCAGTAAGCAGTAAATACAGGGGGAGCAAAAAACGACAATCCGCCCGAGGCACACGTCAGTAAAGAATACGCACCGCACAGATGAAACGAGTACCAGGGCGGAAGATACCCAAGATGTTCCTCGATAAGCAGAAGCAAGCTCTCGTCCATCACCTTCATGTACACCAAAATATGAAGCCATCTACAGCGCAGCCGAACTGAAGAAGGCCTATAGAATTCATTTGACCTCCCAACAGCCGCAAAATTCTCGC